GCGTTTGTGCGCGTGCTTGTGCGCGTGTGCGCTTGTTTGTGTGTGTGTGCGTGCGAGCGAGCATGTGCGTGCGTGAGTGTGAGTGAGTGCTTGTGTGCGAGTGCTTGTGTGTGAATGCGTGTGAGAGTGTGTGTGCGTGCTTGTGTGTGTGTGTGTGTGTGTGTGCGTGCGTGAGTGTGAGTGCGAGTGCGTGCGTGTGTGCACGCGTGTGTGTGTGCGTGAGTTAGTGCTTGTGTCTGCATGTGTGAGTAAGTGAGTGAGTGCTTGTGTGCGAGTGAGTGAGTGAGTGTGCGTGCTTGTGTGTGAGTGTGCTTGTGTGAGTGTGAGAGTGTGTGAGTGCGAGAGAGTGTGTGTGTGTGTACGCTTGTGCGTGTGTGTGCTTGTGAGTGAGTCAGTTTGAGTATGTGCATGCTTGTGTGTGCGCGTGCGTTTATGTGTGTGTGCGAGTGAGTGAGTGAGTGAGTGAGTGCGTGTGTGTGAGAGTGCATGTGTGAGAGTGCTTGTGAGCGCGTGCTTGTGTGCACGTGCGTGTGTGTGCGCGCGTGCTTGTGTGTGTGTGTGTGTGTGCGCTTGTGCGTGCGCGTGCTTGTGCTTTTGTGTGTGCGTGTGCTTTTGTGTGTGCTTGTGCTTTTGTGTGTGTGCGCTTTTGTGTGTGCGCTTTTGTGTGTGCGCGCGCTTGTGTGTATGCGTGCGTGCTTGCGTGTGTGTGTGTGCTTGCGTGTGTGTGTGCGTGCTTGTGTGTTTATGTTTTTGTGTGCGTGCAAGCGTGTGTGTGCGTGCGAGTGCGTGCGTGCGCGAGTGCTTGTGTATGAGTGCTTGTGTGCGAGTGCTTGTGTGTGTGTGTGTGAGTGCTTGTGTGTGCGAGTGTGTGTGTCCGCTTGTGTGTGCGTGTGTGCGCGTGTGTGAGTGTTTGTGTGCGCGCGCGAGTGTGCGCGTGAGTGTGAGTGCTTGTGTCGGTACGTGTGTGAGTGAGTGAGTGAGTGTGTGCGTGAGCGTGTTTATGTTTGAGAGAGAGAGAGAGTGTGAGTGTGTGAGAGAGTGAGAGAGAGAGAGAGAGAGAGAGAGAGAGAGAGAGAGAGTGTGTGTGTGTGTGTGTGTGTGTGTGTGTGTGTGTGTGTGAGCTCACAGGTTCGTATCAGATCTTCTCCACTGTTGTGATTTCCGGGCTCTTTGTATTTTGGAGTGAACTGCTGCGAGAGAGTAAAACTCACACACTCCATCACCATCTTTGGATCTGAAAAACACAAACAACACAATATGAATGCACAAGAACGCTCTTATCAAAAATGTGAATACAATCATGACAGCGATCAAAATAACCATTCCGATAAACAGCGACCTCGTGCTGATGGAGCAAACGAGCACATTTACCGGGTTCTCTGTACCAGTGCGCGTCAGTGGGCGTCTGAATGCATCTCCACCACAGTCCGAGCGTCCCGTTCATGCGGAACAGCGCGTCGCTCACGGTTTTCTCGTCAAAGTCTCCTTCCAGAAACTCGTCCTGCAGCGCGCGCAGCTCCGTGGCGTTGGGCTCCGCGCGCACCGGCGGGCTCGTGTACCGGTACCAGTGCGGCGAGCCGACCGACACCGACAGATACACGGAGGCCAGGACGCTTAAAACCCCGGCGATGACCAGAGCTGTGGCGTGCCGGTTATCCACCATCATGCCCCGCTCTTTACGCGTCTCTCGATAAGCACAAGCGCGTTCGTCTCGTTGTATTTGCGTGTCCTATTTTCCGCCCATCTGTCTCATCTGAGAATAAAACTCACAGTCCAGAGTCTTAGTTTCAATATCAACGAGGTAATCAGAGTTAATGCGTTCATATGCTAAAGGTGAACATACATGTGACGTTTCGGAGCAGCAGAGATGTTGATAAATCCATACGATTTCCTGTAAGATTTAGAGCCTGCAGCAAGGGTTTATGGGTAATGTAGTTTACTACAAAAACCGCTGAAGTAAATAATAATGACAAACACGCAATGCTAGGTTTAGTAGACGACTAGATTAGGAAACAAGCTGAGAGCAGATTTAGAGCCTGCAGCAAGGGTTTATGGGTAATGTAGTTTACGTCAATATATAAGGTGTGCGGTGGTGTTCTGAAACGAGGAGGCAAAGTCCTTTTTTAAATATCAAATGTAAATTCCTGTCCCAGTCGCATGTTCTTGGTTAAATAAATATTATTTACACTACCAGAAAACAGCAACAACAAAAAAAACAATTATATTTTATATTTTTTACATTAACAATGTAATCAATATTCTGTTTATTAAAGCCAAGTATGAATCTCATCAAGTTAACGTTTTTAAGCATTTTACATTTATTCCAAAATAATAACCGAAGGCAGTAACAATTTCAACAATATATTTTATCTGTGAACTTATGTTCAGCTATTCTTTTTAACAGTGAACTTTTAACTATTTTTGAATTATTCGGTTCATCAGCGATCAAAGCCCAGTAAATATTGGTGGTGTTTCCACTGTCGGCCAAAAGTGCTATACTCTCCAAAATGGCGCTAGGGTGACGCGGAGGAGACGAATTGTTGAATAAAGTCGTTTTTTTTCTCTTGCGCACAAAAAGTATTCTCATAGCTGCGTAATATTACGGTTGAACCCCTGATATCACATGGATTATTGTACCGATCTCCTTGCTATGTTTCTGGACGTTGATCGTGGTAGTACCCTTGTGTCTATGGGAGGGTCAGAGAGCTGTCAGATTCCATCATAAATATCTTAAAGCGGTCATATGATGCTATTTTAAAGATCATTATTTGGTGTATTTGGTGTAACAGAATATGTTAACATGCTTTAATGTTCAAAAAACATGTGCTGGGGGAGGTTGTGTTTGCGGAACGATGTATGTTATAATACATCGTGTACACTCACTAAACAAAGAGTGACAGCTTTTTAGTGGTTATGAGCACTCTTTGCAAGCTTTCTAGTCAATAATCCATTTAAAATGTAGCCTAGAACTTTGTTTTTCGGCCACACACGTTGCAAAGTTTCGGGAGTGACGTCAGTATACTTATGCAGGATATACTCTCGAAGTAGCAGTGATTGACACAGTGATAACCACAGCAACAGACGGGACAAAATATGTGAAAATGTGCATTAAGACTAGAGCACCCTCACTCATTTCAGAAGCACCCTCAGTGATTATTTATGGAACCTGGTTGATACGCTTTTATTGCAAAACTATATACAAAAACAACAAAATACAAATGCACTAAATAAAATAATTGAATAAATGCATATTTACAATTTAAGCACTTAACTAAAATAAGTAGGCTATTAATAAAATAAATAACTAGAGAAGGCTGACTATAATCAGCTTGCTACCATTTAGTGAGATAAGCCTACTCCTCACCTGAATTAGAAGAAAAGCTCTTCGTCTTCAGTGATGCAAAGACAACGTTTGAGCGTGTACACGCAATATCTGAGCGAGAGCAGAGCCAGTTTTACAGATCTTCTTTATGCACCAAGAGCTTGTAACACTCCAAAGAAAAAGGAAAACTTGAAATCGCATCATATGAACGTAGGTCTTACAGGTTTGGAACAACATGAGGGTGAGTAATTAATGACAGAATTTTTATTTTTGGGTGAACTATCCCTTTAACACCATTATATTGTTCATTCAGACTGATTCGCGAATGCGAAATGCACATGAACACAAGAGGCGGGATTTATCGCATGAACCAATCACAGCCGAACATAACCAGTCAGATCCAATCATATTGCGATGGAGGCATTGTCTCCTCTCTTGTGATTTTTCCCCATTCATTCTCAATTACCCCCCACCAAACTTACGGCATGCTTTAGTTGAACTGTTAAAAATCAATGGGCTCAGGGGAGGCGAGAGAGACGCAGACTCCCACTGTAACTTTACCTGCTGGTGTCGCTGTTGGACAATGTTTCTTTAGAAAAACGAGTGATTTATATACTTTTTAATGTTATATTTCGTAATATTGGCATTGTTTTATTTTTGTACTAAAACATTTTTTTTCTCATCAAATATTTTGAGGAGACACTGCCTCTCTTGCCTACTTGGAGGAAATGTCCCTGATATATATTTATATACACACACACACACACACACACAATGCTAGGATTAGTAGAAGACTAATCTACTAGATTAGGAAACAAGCTGAGAGCAGAAAAGCAGATAACAAGAAAATGAGACATTTAATTTTAGAGTGTAATTATTATTTTTTTTAGCTTTTTTAAAAAAAAAATTGTTTTAATTTAAACATTTACTCAAAAATTGTTTTTACCTAAAACATAATTTATGACTTAAACATGTCAGCAGTTATTACTTGTGTCGATTAAACGAATAACTTCAAATCAGATTCATAAATTCATAAAATCAGATGCAGTATGATCATAGAAGTGGTGTAACAATTCACATTTATTTGTATAGTGCTTTTCACAATATGCTTTACAGAAAGTGCAAGTTTCTGCATTACAATCAAGAGTAGAAAAATGTTAGCAGGTGTCTGTCACCGTAATGTCTATATGGCAGACTGTACAGTTATGCAGATAATGCAATCATGCAGTTAGTTAACATTGTGTATACTATGCAGAAAAAATGTGATCATAGTATTTCAGCATATGCAAAATGTCATTTTGCATATTGATCAAGAGTTTGTGTCATCCTCAAAGTCCTCGTTATTTCTTCACAGGTGTGGGGTTCATCTGAAATCTTCACGAAGCTGGATCCAAAGTGGAGCTGGCGCAATCTCAAGTCAACTCAGGATGAATGTCCCAAGGTAGAAACAATAACAGAAAAGCAAATACAGAATAATTTGCATAGCTGCTGTTTATATTAATTGCAAGCAAAATATAATAATGTGAATTTGTTCAGATGTTTTATAATTTTAAAGAGCATGATGGATTGTAGCGTAATAGAAGACTGGTTAAGTACACTGGAGCTAAACCAGTTAGGGCCTTATAAGTAGCAAAAGTAAATATTATTTTACAGCACAGTAGCATTTCAATCGTAACATTTCTTTATTGATTTGTTGTCATTTAAATATTAATAAAACAGATTCATATTTTATTATTATTCAAGTCAAGTTAAGTCACCTTTATTTCTATAGCGCTTTATTCAATACTGATTGTGTCAAATCAGCTACATGAAATACATGAAAATAATTTGACAATATTACAATAAGAAAATAACAAGGAGTCATTTTTCCAGTTAAAGTCAGTTCATTGATGATTCATTGATGTCATCATCCAGTTCAGCTCTCTTCCAATAGCGTCTGTGCAATCAGTCAAGCGTCCACAACTAAGCAAGCCAAAGGAACCAAAACTCCATCGGTGACAGAAAAGGAGAAAAAAACCTTGGGAGAAACCAGGCACAGTCGGGGACCAGTTCTCCTCTGACCAGATGAAACCAGCATGCTGTGGTTTAATTCCAGGCTGCAGCACAAGTCAGATTGTGCAGAGGACTCGTCTGGTTCCTGTGCTCTCATACCGATGGTCATCGAGGTGATGAGGTCTTCACTGGGGATCTGTCTCTGGAGCTCATCTAGTTGTCCTGATCTCTGCTGACATTCAGGGCTGTAGAGGTCCTCTCTAGGTGCTGATCCACCATCTTGTCTGGATACGGACTGGATCTGGTGGCTACGGTGACCTCGGAATAAGAGAGAAACAGACTAATATTAGTGTAGATGCCATTCTTCTAACAATGTAGCAAGTATATTGTGTGTTATGGGAAGTGTTCCTGGTTCCGGTTGTCCTAATTAATGCAGCCTAAAAATCCTTTAACGCATTTGAATTATAGAAATGTGTTAGTGTGTTATGTGTAAGCCAGGTTAAAGAGACGGGTCTTTAATCTAGATTTAAACTGACAGAGTGTGTCTGCCTCCCAAACAATGTTAGGTAGATTGTTCCAGAGTTTGGGCGCTAAATAGGAGAAGGATCTACCGACCGCAGTTGATTTTGATATTCTAGATATGATCAAATTGCCAGTGTTTTGAGAACACAGCGGACGTGAAGGAATATAATGCAATAAGAGCTCGCTCAAATACTGAGATGCTAAACCATTCAGGGCTTTATAAGTAATTAGCAAGATTTTAAAATATATACGATGTTCAATAGGGAGCACACATGAATTTAAACTTTACAGGGTAGCACAGATACAAAACACAAGCGGCCAGACCCACGAACTATGCAAAGAACCTCTTTAATGTTTTCATCTCATTTCCAAACACTTAACCGTTTGTAATCCGGAGACAACACCTCAACTAAATTTACCCCTCACACACACACACACACACACACACACACACACACACACACCTGAACGACACAGACCTACGTCACGTACCCCTGGATTAAATATTATGATAAATCATTCGCATTTAACCTCCTGGGGTTTTATTTGTGTACACTCACAATATCAACAAAACATTGTGCTTTTGCAAAATAAAGAAAATAAACAGGGTGTGCTTTTAGCCGTCTCATTCTCCGCGCATATCTGTTTGAAACGCGTCACTAAAATGAACTGAAACTCAGCGAATATTTGACACACACATGAGAGACATATCTATAGAAAGCTTAACATGTCTACTTTTAAACGAAGTAAGTCATGACGAAAACAAATATTATGTGACAAAGTAATCAGTATGAAACCAACGCCATGTCAAATCTTGGCCGTCGCCCTCATTATCACAGACACTCCTACTCTTGCAATTCTTTGAGAAATGGCCAGGCTTAAGACAACCAAAGCATAACTTTTCAGCTTGAACAAATTTGATTCTGTCTGAAACTGATTTCTCCATAAGCTTCCTGCATTTGTGCAAAATGTGTCCAGTCTTCTGGCAGAAAAGACATGTTATGACAGATTTTTCACTGGTACTTGTAGTTAGGGTCTTTACTCCAAAGTTTTGACGTTTTTGAAACTTTGGATTTTCAACCTCACCTAGTTTAAGTGCTTGTAAAGATGTAACAGGATTGCAGGCGATTTTCACCTCTCTCGTCAAGAACTTGACAAACTGGCTGAAGGAGGGAAATTGGTTAGTC